ATTGAAGAAACTGTGGAGTGCATACTCTAAAAAAACCTAACACATCTGAATCAGGAATTATAAAGTAGTTGACAAGCCATAGTAGTTTAGGTTGCAAAGAGAGTCAAGACTTTCTTCAACTTCCCAGCTCTTAGGTTTGCTAAGTGCATCGTTGTTAGTCCCAGATGGTTCCTTTAGAAAAACCGCTGAACTTTGCTGGTCAACTAACTAGGGTGAGGAACACTAAGAGTAGTGACTATCAGTTTTTTTCTGGCAAAAAACCTGGTAAAAACACTTTATTTTCTTGGGTAATAGACAAGAATGGCTGAAAATGTAGACTACGGTAGCAACAAGAGATAATAGTACACGCACATTCCCAAATGTGAGAGCTATCAATCTTCTGAACATTGTGGGTAACAGTCCTTCCAAAGTTACCCACTGGAGTGCACAAATACTAGGAAGTAATAAATTATTAAAAATAAAACCAGATCCTTTTGAAGTTCAGGAAAGCTTCAGTAAGGAACCTTATCCCTTTCTCATTCCATGTGTTCCCAGTGTGGCTTTGATCCACTAGCTGAATCTACTCTTGAGTGCATATAATTACAGGGAGGAAAATACAGTGGGGTTATTGACAAATATTAGTACTGTGAAGAACAGGAATTTGTATAAAACATCACCCTATACCAGTTTTTGTGCTGATTTTTCTGTCGTCTTGTAAGAAGTACTTTGGGGCTATAATTTTCTGTGTAAATTCTCTCAAATAGCTGTTATTGATTATTTTTATTGTTCATGTTTCAATTGTATTATCCCCATTCTCAATGAATGCTTCTGAACTTTAAGAAATAGGGGTTATATTAACTTCAATATAGTTTGATTTCTTTTGGTAAAAAAAACATTACTATGAATTCCACGAAGTCAATGTGTCTAGAGAACACTAATAACATGTTTAATAACATGGTTTGTAGTTTAGCATTCCTTTTCCCTTCCTCTGACATCCATACAAAGAAGTTCATTATGCTGAATCCCCTGCAGCTAGTTTATAGACCTACTACAGTGCATCCTGCAGTGAAATAAACCAAGCTTTGTTAAGGATATTATGGGCCTGGTGTTTTAAAGGTCTGAAATTTTCACTGTGAATAAATGCTAATTGGGTGAAATATTACACTCAAAAAGCTTTGATCCCTGAAAACAAGCACATGTAATATAAAGCTCCAGAAAGAACAAGATCTGAAAATGTAACAAAAAGGCATCTTTTAAAATCTCCATACCAAGTTTGGGTACAAATTCCTGTAGGAGTGAATTTCTAATTTTAACTAAGTGCTAAGAAAACTCAAACTTAAGGTGAATTTTATTTTCTGGTAACTTAATTTTCTGGTTACTAGTCTAGAAAGGTCTCTTATTTATCTTCCTGGCTCCACTGAATTAACATATAAAGACAAGTCCCATACAAGGAGCAGCAAAGGCTCTTCTATGTACACTCTGTCATTGGGTACACAGTCCTTCCCTCCCATCATAGCTACAACACAAACCCAAGGGAGGCCAATTTTTAAGTCTGGCACTGAATCCAGTGGTCAACAGTCAGTGCTTGAAATTTCTGACGGTAGAAAACACTAAAAAGCTTTGCTTTTGCAAATATTCTCTCCATCAGTTCCTCTGTTTTAGGGAATCACTCTGCAGCAAAACCTGATATTGCTGCTTTTCCCTCTCAAAGCTTCTGTGGTTTGTGAGTTAGAAGCATTAATTTTATACCAACTCCAACAGAAAACCAAGAAAAATTATTAAGGCAAGACTGTTTACTCAGATTTAATTATCCATCTCCTTTGTCACAGTGATGGCCCAACAAAAATCGATTCTTTGATGTGTCTGGGGCTGGGTGGTGCTCTCTGGGCCAGGACACCACAGGCATCTTGTCCTCAGTGCAGGGTTCTGGCAGGTGTCCGTACCAAGACCCTAATTCCCTTACAGGTGCTAAGGTTTCCAGTTGCCTGTGTGCTCACAGATTTTAATTGAACAAGGGACTAAGTTGTTATGGCTTCTAAATGGCCATGTAAAAGTGGGTCATCTTTGACCCCTTGGTTAATTCTAGTTATTCCAGATTTGAATATAACTGGAAAATATGAAAATAATAGCCTCAGTAAAAGAGAGATGTGGAAAACACCAGAAAAATTCAGCAGTGTTAGGCATTATCAATGTTAAAAATTATATTTTCTTAAGGGGCACATAATTTCTTTCCTGTGTGCCTGTAGAAGGTTTTTTAACATATAAACAAAGATGCATGGAGGCTCTCGCAGAATGAGTTCAGGAAGCTTTTCTGCACCAGATGTCTTCTGAAACATATAAAGAAGGCAAGTATCAAGTATGAGAAATCCAACTAGCTCAAAAAACAAAACTCAGCTTATCATTTAAACCTATTGATACCAGTGATATTTTGTATTTTACATGGTTTATGCCACTAACTTCTCTTTATTTAGGCAGATTGTTTAAGAACTAGGTTTATGTGCATGCTTGCTGCTGCCTTGCATTGGTAAAACTACAGCCTCTCCCATGTACATTTTATGTTCTCTCAAGCAAGTCTTGCAGTCTTCTTAAGTACAAGGCCATGAAGAGCTGCAGGGTGGGTCTGGGATTTGAATGTCTCTAAAGTGTGTGTTTGAACGGGTTTTGGAGAATTTGATCTGTTGGTTATGTCATTGATTTCTCCAGAGTTGAGAGAAGCTATTGGGAGTGTGCTTGATAAGAGCACACTTCTCTTTTGCAGTGACTTTGTGCATGTCCTCATTGTGGATTTAATCTGTATCACCATAGACAAAAATAATTCAAATTTTTCACATGGGTTGGCTAATAGAGGTTTAAGAAATTTCCAAAAGAAAAGATGCTGTGACACTTGATATTGCAAAAATTATTTTGTGTTTAGAAAGACAACTCAATAGTTAACTGTTGCCTTGCTACTTTTTGAAGCTGAAATCACACTAGAATGACTTACAAATGTGAAAGATACATAATAATGTAATGTTTAAATGTTGATAATGAATCGTCCTTTGAAGTTGCTAATTTCATCTTAATTTGGGAGATGTTGTTCTGTCTTTAACAAAAAAAGATATTGTTTTTTGCCAGATGATTCCACAACTGATTTCAGAGTTATGATGTAAATGAATCACAATCAAATCCTGATGAGTATGTAACAAAAGTTTTAAAACACTTTTCCTCACCTGCCAAAAAAGCTTTAGAATTACAGTAGATGTTTCATTTTGTCAGTCTTGATTACATGGCATGCCTCTTCAAGCGAGTCATTCCTATAAGCTGCAATTGAAGTGATTTTAAAATGCTTTCCAGTTATTTTGTACATTAGGTCAGGATTTCTCTGTCTCAAATTTTGTAAGGACAAATCATGACAGAAAGGACGAAGAGAGACTTCCAGTAACTGAAGAATATTGGTTTCTTTGGCAAATCAGTTATAAAATTAGAGTAATACTACCTGATGAAGTTTACCTTGAATTCACTGGAGAAAAATAAGGAATTGGTCACCAGCTGTTTGTCTTAAATGTATCTAAACCACATCATAGCAAAAATCAGTCAGTGACTGCATTCAGTGATACATTTTGATTCCTCAATACCTGACTTCACTTTTGAGTCTAGTCATCAAAATTAATCTAAATTGTATTCAGATGCTTTCTCAGATAAAAATGGGACTTTTCCAGAAAATTTCAACTATTATCACATATAGTGCTCTGCCAGCCTCACACGTACTGGATACCCCAGGGCTGTATTTTGTCTGGAAGCCAGATGGGCAAATGCTGTCTTATGGACCAACTGGGATATATTAACTGGTCCATTTGAAACCTGAACAGAGGGTGCAGCCAGGTGGGGATTGGGCTCTTCTCCAGGCAACCAGCAACAGGACATGATGACACAGTCTTAAACTGCCAGGGGAGGGTTAGGTTGGACATCAGGAGGAATTTCTTCACAGAAGGGGTGATTATATAATGGAGCAGACTGCCAAGGTGTTGCAAAATGTGGAATATATAAAACTTGCTCAAGAAAGGATGTTCTTTGATGTTTGATCTTCGTGTATGTTCAAGCTTAATCAACAAAGGGAGATTTGATCTGTGAGACAGATAGCAGCTAGCTATCAAGCTCTAAGTGATGCCCAGCTGTCAGAAAAACAACTTGTTGCTAGAATTGCCTTGTTAAGTTTTAGGGCATGACATGCTGTGATGATGTCAGATGTAGAGGGAGGTTAACAGAGCACGGGGAGAAAGATGTCCCTTGACAGTGGAATGCAGAATTTACACACCACAAAGACATCTGGCAGAACTCCCAACATCAAGAAGAAACTAATAAAACCAACTCAGCAATTGTGGTGAAATCAGCTCCAGCTGAGTAAGAGGTAATTCTGGCCGGGGTAGATTGGGACCACTGACCCAGGGAGACTGAGCATGACAGCTGATTAGCATGACAGGCGAGAGAATCATTAACCAATAGAAGAATACTGATTAATAAGAGAGATATGTAACTTGTAGCCAATATCCACTAATTCTTTTGTTTGCAAAAATCTATCATTAGTAAGAAGTTTTGATAATTACTGTGCTTGATTCAGGGAATACCACTGAGCATCCAAGCTTGTGCAACTCTGAAATAAAAAAAAAAATCTCCCTCGCGAGTATTATTGTTGGCTTGTTACACAGCAGGTCATGAATCCCATTTTTGTGGACAACACGGTGGTGGAGTCACCGTCCTTGGAGGCGTTTAAGGAAAGACTGGACGTGCCACTCAGCGCCGTGGTGTAGGTGACACGGCGGCGTTGGGTCTCAGGCTGTACTCTTTGACCCCAGAGGTCCTTTCCAACTGGCTGAGGGCAGTGGCTGTGACCCCAGCGCTGCCGAAGCCCCGGGGCTGTGCCGACATTGCCCTCACGGCCCGCGCCTCGCTCCCGCTGCCCTCACGCGCCCGCCCCGCCCCACACCCCGCGCGCCGACGTGCGCGTGCGCGGAGCGGGCGCGGCGCTCGCCCCTCCCGCCGGGCCGGGCCGGGCCGCGCAGCGCGACGGGCAGCGCGGAGCGGCCGCGCCCGGGCAGGAGCCGCCGCCGGCGGGAGCGCAGCGGAGGCGGGCGGGCCGCGCCATGCGGCTGTGCGGGGCGCTGCTCAAGAACCCCATCCCCAAGCAGATTGAGTACTACTCGCGCTTCTCCCCCTCGCCCCTCTCCATCAAGCAGTTCCTCGACTTCGGTGAGTGCCAGGGTCGCGGGGTGAGGGGGTGTGGGGGTCGCCGCGGCTCTCCCGGGGAGCGGCGGTGGCGGCCGGCGCGCAGGCCCCGGTGCTCGGCCGCGGCTCTTCGGTCCGCATCGGGAGCGCGGCCGGGGCCCGGCCCCACAGGCCCCGCGCTGGCATCCCCGGGCCCGGGCGCGGTGTGGGCAGCCGGTAGCCAGCAAACAGCCGCTGCTCGCCTCCCCGGGGGCCGGGAGAGGCGGGCTTGCCTCGCCTTCTTGCCTTATCCCCTCACACGGGTGCCATGAGGATGGGATTCAAAATAAGGGTTCCTGACCTGACGTTTTGTGAGCTTAGTGAATTACTGGTCATGAGCGTGAAAATTTAAATCTGCCATGCAGAGATCGGCTTACTTAAAGCTCAGACATGAACTCTTAACTGCGCTTGTATAGGAGACCTGTTTGTGTAAAATTCAGGAGCACTTCAGGAAATGCTGCTGCTGATAAATAGCTTTTTGCTTTTCAGAAGCCCTGGAAGGAAATCCAGGTGTGGCTTGTGTTGATGTTAAAAAACATACTTCCATCTAGATAACGATAAACCCAAATCTGTATTGGAGGTTATTTGACTCTTGCTCTCTGACACGAGAGTTGTTGAGATTTTATTGTCATACAAATATTGCTGGTAGAATGAATGTAGAGGCCGTGTGTAACATCCTGAAGCTTAACAGAGTGCTCCTTCATTCCGCTCTTACAGTAGGGGTACAAAAGGACAAAAATGAGCCAGTGTTCAGCTATAAAGTGATTAAAAGTGGATACAATTGCACAATTATGGCAATGGTATTAGTGAAAGAATGCTGGAAATACAGAAAGCCAGTAATGGGCTTGATATACCGTCTCAGTGAAACAGGATTTTGTACTGTTAAAAAACCCCCCCAAACCTCTTGTCTCCACTTAAAGGAGAACCTGACTAGAAGCTGTCCTTTCTTTCTCTGGTCTCCACTCACCTGAGTTTGTTATCTCTTTCCCATCCCTCTCTGTACTGCTGGGCTTTTTCTCTAGCATTGGTGCTTCTTACACTGTGTCTTTCTATACTGGCAAGGGCAATGGCCTAAAACTTAGAATATCTTTATTTTAGCCCTGGCACTAAACAGATTGTGTCACCTTTGCCTATTTGAAAGTTGGGTTTGTAAATTGTTGCTGGATAAGTATTGGTGTTTATGAGCCTCTTTGGGACTAAAGACGTGTAAAGATTTCAGGATTTGCTTTAATGCTTTGGGTGTTTGGACAAAACTTTGCTTCTTTTCTTTGATTTCTGGAGTTCTGTGTAGTCCTGCATTAATGTTTGCCTTGAACATCTCTTCTGTGGCAGCCTTTTCATAATGCTGCATTTGTTTTAACATTGTAGAGACTGTATTACTTTATGGTCTTGTGATTCTCCAGAAGAAGTAGTTTTATTTTACAATTTTAAGCCTGGCTTATGTTACTGGGAATGAACAGAGTGAGAACAGGATGTTACAGCCTGGCCAGCCTTATTCTTTAGACGTGTTCCAGTTGTCACTGGATGTGTCATTGGAATCTTCTGTGTGTGTCTGGCTATGTATTTAAGGGTCTTCATGTCTTAAGACTGATGGGAAGCTATCTAGTTGTTGACATTTAAAACCTCTGAAGAAAAAAAAAGGTCTATGGTTTAGTCTTGGAAGGTCACCAGGAGTTTCTAAAATTAGTAGGTTTATGTTGTATCAACTTTGTTAAACCTATCACTTTGATCTTAATAAGTTTTATGGGCCACTTAACATCTCCACTTACTTACTCTTTAGTGCCTGTTTCTATTTGGGAAAACTCAAGTAGGAAAATTACAACAGTTTAAGCAAATAGATTAAACCCAATGTAGTTACTTACGTGATCCTAAATGTTTACAGCTTTGGGTAATTTCAAGTTCAGATGGAGTCTTATAGGCCTAGAGGAAAAATTTATATTAAAATCTAAGTGACAGTGTAAAAGTTTTCCCACTTGAAGTGTGGAAGGCCTGGACAATATGCACCATATCAGGGAGCTGTGTTACTTATATCTGAGTTGGCCAAAAAAGAATTTGCTGGTGCTGCTGAACACAAGTATTGAAGAGAGCAAATATGCCAGACACAAGGAGCACGATACTCAGGGTGCAGTTCAGTTGGTTTTGTTCATTTGTAAGGATACTTGATGGGAAGAAGACACTGTTTTGTGGTCACTTAGAGAGTCTATTTAGTGTCTCACTTCAAAAGAAATGGTCTTTTTAATTGAGCTAGTGAATGTGGTGCTTGTTTTACAAAAACATAACTGAATTTTCAACAAATGTTGAAGAAGAGTAAGCACAAAGGAAATGTGTGAATAACATGGCTATCTGATTTTGTTGTCTGATGTACATTTCTTATATGGAATTTGCACTCACTATGGTTCGGATTTATGTGAAGAAAGTTTTTCGACTTAATTTCTGAGAATAACGAAACTACAATGTGTTCCTTATGTTGCTTTTTATATTTGTCTTATTGGTTAAGATTAAGCTGATTTACAAACGTGTAAAATTCTGGTGAGCTGGGGAAGAGAAACTTTGTATTTCTTGTGAGCTGAAGAGTCTCTTCGAAGATAGTTGGTAGCAATGTATATTGAGGTACAGCTTGGCTTTTTTTAATTACTGACTAGCAGTGTGGGTTGTATGGAACACAGTTGTGTGCGTAGTGAGGTTGTACAGTCTCTATTCCTTTCCAGTGATATAAATTAATGTCGTTTATATTAAAACTTTCTCTGCTTAATTCCTCTATTTAAACCACTATAAGAGACAGTTTGTTTAAAATAGTTTGCTAGTACTAAAAACCTGTGAAGCAAACCAGAAGGCAGTAGTTAAAGCAGTGACACTCGCTTGTTTTTGTAGCTGAGTCCTGTTTGTGTCCATGTTCTGTTGAGCTTGCAGCTGTCTTTGTAGCTGCCGTGAGTGTCAGAGGTTACTGTGCCGTGGGCTTGGGACCTCTGTATCAGAAAGTCTGAGCATTTACTCTGTGCAGCTTTTTTCTTTCTTTCTGTGTGTACACTTTCTATTTGCACGCTCCTGAACTCTGTTCAGACAGTTTCTTTTGTTACGGAGTGCATTTCCCAAGGTTCTTGTGCAACCTCATTCCTTTGCAAAAGAATGACCTTCTGTAAGTGAGTTTCAATATAAACAAATTTTGACCTTGTTTAATACTAGCATGTCGCTCCAGGTTTATCCAGACCTCCATAATTTTTCTGCTCTGGAAAAAAATACAAAATCTAACAATTGGATTCACCTATGTAGTTCCTCTGGAAGTTGTTTTGGTAGGTTTTCAAGTGCAGGCATACCTTAATGACCCAGACTAAATTAATTACTAAAATATCTTTTCTGAAATGAACTTGTCTGTAGAGATGTCATCTAACGTTCAGGTCCGTGGATCTTTGTACATTTTGAGCTAGACTGTTTGAGAGAAAAAATGCCCATTCTGGAGATTCATGTTGATGGAGCATCTCAATTTAGTCTTGCTTCAGCATGTAAGGTGGGCCTTAGTGACAGGTTAATCCAAAATACCCAATACCTAATCAGCAGCCACCCACATGTGTAACCAATCAGTCAGTTTCTTGCCTGGGGAAGTAATAAGCTGTCTGTTTGAGGAAACTAGAGTTGCTTTTCTAGGAGTATCTCGGCATTTAAAAAAGACACCCAGAGACGTGTGCTGCTGGTGCCTGCACTGCAGCCTGTCCTTGGCCTGAGCCAGCCCGGGAGAGCTGCACGAGTGCTGAACCCTGCCCCAGCTGGCAAGCTCCACAAAGCTGCTTGCTCAGGTCGGGGTACCTCAGTTGTAAAGTTACTGACAAATGTTTTGTCAAATGAATGGTTGTACTGCAACGGCTTGCATATAATTAAGCACAAATGAAGAGACAGTGAAGTATAAATGGTGTAATCCTTTGATGGTTCGTGAAAGAGTCATTTGAAGCTGTGCTCGGGCTGTGTTGTGAATGTGTACTGTACTCATGTAATCCTCTCATTGCTGCTGCTGCTCAGCTGACCAAGTGTCTGACACCTGAGCCTGAGGTGTGTTTTGTCAGAAACGTGAAACAACTGCTTTTGGGGCTTGTTTACTACTGAAGTTGTCTTGGCCAGTTGTACCTAGCTATATTCTAGCCCTTTTTGTTTCAAGTTTCAAATTAAATGCTTTGGATGAATTGGGTACCTAAGGAGTTAAGACTTGTTTTTTGTTAGCTCTTTAAATATGTCATATATTAGTGTTCATGTACTATAGAGTTACTAATGAGTTTGGATAAAAAAGCTGTGCTTGTGCTGAAGACAGAAGATAGTGAATCACAGTGAATTCTTGTGGAATGTGACTTAGGAGATCCTGATTTTGTAGGCTATAATCAAAATATTTGTGGTGACTGCTGTAGTTAGTGGCATTGAAAAATATCACAAAGGTTGTAATTTAGTAATTTTACTGTACTGAGAACAGCTGAGCATGCAGCAGATAATCACAATGAGTGCATGGAACTGTTGTGCCCTGGGGCATATGTGGAGGAAAAAATGATCAATAGATCCTTCTCATTTTTAAATACAGTTTTTGGTATGAAATTGTTTAGTTTATGTGGTACCTATTAAACTTACCTGTCTTGGGGAAATGTGTAGGCCTCTTCCAAAATGATAAAAAGAGCAAACCAGGTATCAGCACTGCTGTTGGTTGCTGCCATTTATGCGAGCAATATTAGATTGGACTTTTCAAGTGTTTATGCTTCGTGTTGCCTTGTTGGTGGAGGCATGGATCTGAGCTGAAAGCCTGCCACTGGAAAGGTAGCTGGCAGATACAATTTGAGCAACAACATGTGGGGTACAAAAGCAGAGATCAAAACCTGCCTTATGTTTCCATATATAATTACTAATCTTCTTATAGAAGATGGCTGTTGGAAGCTTTTTCTACACAAAAAGGTACTGGAAGATTTCTATAATTTTTTTAATAGAACATTAGTGGAGAGACAGTGCATCTATAG